AAACCTACGGCTTGCTGTATCCGAGACCACTACCAAGGAAACTCCTGCCCTATTTTTATTCCGCTCAACAGCCGGGATATGACTACCGGAGAAAATTTTTTTTGTTAATGAAAATTGATGCAAAACACGCAAGAATCTTTTCATGCATTAAAAACGGAAATTTTTACGAAGTATCTATAGTGGTAAAAGAGCTGTGGTTAAGGTGACCACATCCAATTCGGACACATTTAATGCAAGCTTCAATGTTTATGGAAAAAATTTAATTCATAAAAAGTTTGTATTGGGACTTATTCTGGATTAAATTGCCATTCTTTTCAATTCCCATGCCTTTAGTATATTTATATTTCACATTAGACCAGTGAATTTTAATATTGCCATTACCTGAGTTTACAGATTTTTGTGAAAATTAAAATTTTTAATGCTTGTAAATATTAATTTCTCAGCCGAACTCTGACTTTTTTAATTATGGTTCTTACTTTACGGCTATAATAATTTGGGGGCACGCCGCGTGTGCAGGCTTCCCACAAAATGGCTTTTATTTTGTTATGGAACACATTTCATCAGATAGCACACTTACTGTACCTGTACTTATTTCGTAAACAATTACGTCTTCCTTAAATATTATACTTGAAGATAAGGTAGCCTTTGGCTTTATAATTATTTACAATGGCCGAATTAATGAACTGGCCCTGCCGTTAAAATTTCATACAGGGTTTTCAAACTAAATGGCGCACACAGCTCTCAACTTTATGAGGTAAGCAACTTATGGTGGACCATGCTGCATGCTTTAAAAACCAAAATAATAAATGAACAGAGATTGTAATTGAACCAAGAGCCTCCCTACCTTCCAGTTGAAATTTAAAGAAGATGTAATTTTCCACAAAGTGAGTGAAAAAAGAATAATTTTATGCATGTTTTCTATAAATATATCTAACTTTAAAGGTTACCGATCATCCGTGGGAAATTTTCGGTAGGCCACTGCAGAGAAGCTCGCTCAAGAGGCAGCAGCCTAACGTGACTGAAATATTTAAGGATGGTGCTTCGTCATATGTGAGTAATATTCTTGAGGCTAATATTAACGTTGCAAGTAAAGCGATGCAGGGTTCGTAGAATAAATAAAAGCACAAGATAGAAGGCTGACCATCCAGTTGCCTTTACTTGTCGGCCAGTAGTTCCGCATGATTCATGCCCTGACGCAGGCCCTGTCGACGAACAGCTTTAAAGGGTCCCGTGCTGGCACCCCCAACGATCAACGTCAGAACTATCTGATGCGCCAGAAACGCGGACTCGCCACCCTCCAGGCTGACTTCATGGAAAACGGTCATCATCTGCCAGCCATAGTAGCTTAACAGGGTGTTGATGCCCGTGATGAGGTCGGAGGTAGTGAGGACCAGACTGATGGCGGCAAAGTGGTTTGAGTACAGTCTGCGCGGAGTCACCACCCGTTCCTTCCCCTCTACTGTCTCCTGCTGTTTAGCGAAGACAGGCATAGCTTATCTGATAGAGCCTATCCACTGGAAAAAGTATAGCTCATTACGATAACCACAATCCTTGCGGTATATGCTAACATTTTAAAACCGTGAAATATAGCCGTTAGCATCAGAATTAACTGACTAACTTGCACGATATTAATGACTGCGACTTAAAGGCTTCCTCCATTAAAACTTTCCTGCGTTCAGTGGGCTACTAGTGTTTTATGAACCATGGATTTTGGTAAGGGTTTAATTGAATAGAGATACTCAGTGCTCGCATGTAAATTTTTCAGCATTCACGGCCAACGCGAGAATCACAGATTTCGCGGATAGATGTGTCTTCAATAGGTTTCGATGACACAGAAAACGGAAACCCTTCGGGTAATATAATTAGCATTGGTCTATATTACAGGAAGGCTACTAATCAATGAAGCACAGCTGTAACAGACTTATTTTTATAGAAGACGGTAAAACGTGCTGTGGGACCAGCGGCTCATTTTTCCGACGTTTCAAAGTCTCCCGCGAGCTCATTTTTAACGAATCAGAGTATTTGAACCTAGACACCTACACAGGAAACTCAGTTGAGAGTATGTAGAGGCCTGTCGACAAGAAAATGATTTCTAATAAAATGCTGATTTAAGCGTTTCGCACCCGAACATATTCTGAATGGTCGAGAATAGGTGAGGCCCAGGTAACTGAAAAGAAAACGGTGCAACGTTCTCTGGAACCAGTGGTTCAATTATCCGACGCTTTGAACTCTCCTTCGAGCTCATTTTCAAGCTGGTCAGTATGAAGTACGCTAAAGAGACGCCATCATGACGTTACTGACATTTCTTGAAATTATACTGCACGATTATCAACATTAGACTCCTATTTAAGTAATTTGTTCAAGGGAGAATCACATTTCCGAATTTTCATTGTCACTGTTGTGTGCAATGCGTGCCACTATAGGCAATGCATACCACAAAAAACTAATACACTTATCTGATTCTGTCCTCGGTGATGGATAAGAGTGAGTACGAAACGCGAGAAAAAAACGCGTCTCCACCTTCTTGATCTGAAACCTGGCGAGCAAGTGCTTATCGATTGCGGTTGGTAAGATGCGAATGTCATGGGTAGAACGCTTGCCTTCATTTCTTGCTGGCCAATTTTACTTGGACTGCATATCAGTTTTTGTCAACCTGGACAATCTGAAGACTGTAAGCCGGCGACGGTCACTTCATCCTTTCATGTCCTTCTCAACAACCACTTCATATAGGTGCTTACTGGTTTTGTTTTGCGTTGGTAATACGTGCTTCAAGTATACCTATTAGGTGCACCTTTTGCAGAACTAGACAATATATACCATAATTTCTGAATTTCTAAAATACCAGCAAAAGGAAAAAAATGTGTTTCGGCTGTTATTTGCAGCAAACTCTGATAATTGTTTCAATTTTCCGGTTAAGGTATATTAGCAGTCCCTAGACTGAATCTGTACCACCAGAAGGATCATGCAAAAAATGAATCGCTATTGGAGGATTTCGTTTTGGAACCCTATTTACTTGATTTCCCCGTCTAATGTGGTCTAATGAACTTAAATCTAACCTCTTTTTCCAAATGTTTTCCTATCCTAGTAAAAACATGAAAAGCTAATTAATATAAATAAATTTTACCATCTGGTTCGTTGGTTCCCCTTTCCAAAAGTTTGATAAAGTCAGATTTCCCTCTAATCCAGTGTTTCGTTATTATCCGTAATCCATTGACTTCGATACTCAATGCGTTAGCCAACTTCAACACCACGTTGGCCTTTGTGTTCCGTTTTTGACTGACTTCAAAAAATATGCTGACTCGGCTCCATCCTGTTACTTTCAGAAAATTGCCGAGCGCGTGAACGATGGAAGTCAGCTCGGTGGGTAAGGGAATAGAAACCAACATGAAGGAGGGCATCTGGGAGGTCAGTAAGACGTCCTGTTGCTTACGGAGCGCGTTTGGCACAATGAATTCCATCTGGAAAACGAACATGTGACAGGCAATGTTGATCTGGAAGATCCGGTCGCTATCGACGGCCGCGATACTCGATATGCGTATCCAATCCGTGACAAGATCACAGTTGCTGCCGGACTGGGGACCAATAATGATGGAGTAGCTCCTAAATGTGGCGCGGAACACGATATATCCAAGATCATAGAGAAGAGTCATCAGCTGTGTGACACGATGATCCTGTTTCAAATTTTAGCCTGGAACTGGGACTGAGTTAATCATAACACTTATAAAGGGTTCATTTTCCAGGGTTATATTCCGTAGATTGTAGACCGCATAACCAATAGTGGCTTTGTAGTCAAAAAGAGGATATTCAACGGAACGATTACTTACAGAAATGAGGATAAACATGTTAACGTTATTCTGCGGATAAGCTAGGGCAGTTTCACCGCTGTAGGCTCTAGTACGACCTCCACGGACAATGAATGTGAAGAGAAGTTGTTCGAAGACAGAGCGCCACTTAAACTTCATGGCACCGAACAGGACTTGCGTGTGCCTACAAATTGGTTGACAGAGTTATTTTTATTGTTTGCAAAATGTTACCACCCCTGATTAGAATACGCAAACACGCCCTCGAGGCCACCCTATTCGTGCGTCCTGAAGGCAACTCAGGAGTGTTTATGCGGCATTAAAAACTAGTGGGAAACATTATTTCCCACCAATGACCTATAAACACCTGTAAACATTTAGGATATTCGACACAGGGGGGGAATTTGAGTGAACCCATTTTGACAGTTAGACGGCGTGACCAGTGTGGATATCGTAGACTGTTCTAAGAATTACCCTTAGTCTGAACAACCGACAACTTCCTGTACAAAGCTGACCTTTTTTATGTTCTCCCTAGCGTTGTCCATTAAATCGTACAGTAGAAGGGCTATGTCATGAAATGTTATGTAAAATTCTGAACTGTGCTTTGGATTGAAAAAAACCTATTTTAGTAGTGTTGTAATATTAAGTGTCTGGCAATATAATCCTAATATATTTCAGTCAGGTTAGGATGTTGGCTAGAGGGCGAGCTTAATTCGGGCCGGCTGCAAAAAAACAAACTCTAAAAATGCTTTCTAATCGCCTAGCAGAAAATTTTCCCATTTATTTTCTAAGCTCTTATAAATGCAAATGCTATTTATGCAGACATACCTGGAATATATATAATTTGTATTAATTTGGTTGAAAGATACGTTTTCGTCTTCCTTTATCATTTTATTTAAAGCCAGAATATTTTTCACTGGAATTTTTCGTTTAATTTTACTTGCATATAATTTTCCAATTTTAATACGTATGAATAAAATATTTTTTTCTATTCTATAATTGCCGTGATCCTGACCTGCTTTTAAATCTCCATACAGGCTTTCCAAAAATTCAAGCAGTAAATTTCCGCATAAATTAAATTAAACGTTTTTATAAGCTATTAAGCAGACTTCATACACAGCTCATAACATACTTCGGTAAAAATGAGCCATGAGGGTTACGTTCTAACTGCACTGAAAAGGCGCATTTATGATGCTCTGCAAATGGATTCATCACAATCTTATTTAATGTCATAATTAGAAACGTTTTGAAAGAAAAACGACCCACTTTTACTTACTCGTTTCCTGTTTAAGTATAAGTTTCATATTTACTTATATAAGCAGCAGAATAGTGCCGTCAAGGACAAAGGAGGCTGAAAGTGAGTCTCCTTTGTCCTTGTCGGCAATGTGAATTTGCCTAGGATACTAATCAAAGGATAACGAAACCCATCGATGAGATTTCATTCGCCAACGCTAATTCAAAACCCAAGCCTAAACATAAAATAACCTCTAATCCCCAATTAAACCCCAAACGTACACTTAACACTAACGCATCTTTAGCATCCATCCTGTCCTCTGGGGAAATTGGCACAACCTCCCGACAATAAGGCAGTTCATTAATCCATGGCTTGCTGGATCAGGCGACTCGGGAATTATCAACACGCCTTGTGAATTCATCTTTATAGTACCGATTCCCTACACTTAAATTTGATATTCTCAAACCATAAACTAAGAGCCTAGTACATGTTTTCCTAGTTTTGTGGATTTATAAGGATAGTCAGATGGGCTCATCGCACCAGAAGGCCCTAAAAGTAACTCTTAGAGTTTCCGGAATTCAGCGCTTTCAGCTATTTGCGTTAACGACTGCCTCAATAAAATGTTGCAGGACAGCATCTTTATTGTGTAAAATTTGAAGAGTTGCATCAAACTGTCCTTCCTTGCCCTTTGTTTCTCACATATACGTTCTCCTCCTGAGAGTAAACTGTAACCTTTTGATGTTCTTTTCGGCGTCCCGTCCTCGGGAGGGGGGGGGGAGAGGGGCAGATAACACTTTGCACGTAAGTAACGTCCTGTGTGTTTGCATTACAATAGGCCCCTTTCCCTCTCCTAGTTTACTGCAGGTTTTTTTGGTTCCTTCGTTTCAAGGTTGCCTATTAGGCGAAAAAAAGGAACTTGGGCCATTTCTTTACTTCTACATACGCCAAGGATGTAACGCAGAAAAAAACGTACTTCGTAGGAGGCCTCCCCGCCTCCCTCTCTCCCC